GCGCATGCGAACTACGACTAAAAGCCACGTGTTCATCATGAGTGTACGCATTTCCCTTTTCGCATACGCACATACATTCATCACTCAAGATCGCGGCCCCTTTGACGCTTCATTTTGCTTGACACGTGCAAAATATCTCCGAATTCTTCGAGACCCGTTCTTGAGTAATCCCAGTTTCTTCGACTTCTCTTTTCTTCTTCTTCTAGAAGCTAGAGAATATAAGAACGCACCCTAAGTTCCTGTACGTTTTGGACAAGCATGCCCCGCTGCACAACTCTAAGCCTTCCCGGAGGGCGATACCTCCCTGGTCTGACAGAGAGCTGCACCAGCTCGAACAGCGTAAACGGCGGCTGCACAGCCGTTGGCGGAAGGATAGGACAAACGGCACACTGTATGCAGAGTTTAAACAAGCACGTAGCACTGCTCGGAACGCGTATCGGCGCAAGCGAAACGAGTACTTCTCCCGTCAGTGCGAAGAAAATGTGGCCAACCCTAGGAAGTCTTGGGCCATTCTAAATGCAGTCACTGGGCGTTCACGTCGCCGCCAAGATCCTAGTTGTAGCATCAGCGAGGTGGCCGACACGTTCCACTCCATTGTCACCGATCCCAACCGTCCTGAACAACTCTGTACCCCGCACGGTCCCGCTGGACCCGTCTCCTTGACCGAACTTGATCCTGTGACTCCTGCTGACGTCCGACGTCTCCTTGAGAAGTTGGATGCGCGGAAAGCCACAGGTAGTGACGGCATGCCGGGCTCTCTGCTACAGCAGTGTGCTGACTTGCTTTCATATTCTCTTGCTGTGCTGTTCTGCACCTCGCTGAGGACTGGAACCATTCCATCCGCATTTAAATTGGCGTCTGTCGTGCCACTGTACAAGGCCGGTGACCCATCAGTCCCCACCAACTATAGACCTGTATCCCTTCTCCCAATAGTGTCTAAGTTGCTGGAGAGGGTAGTGCAACACCAGTTAGTTCGTCATTTGGACTTGACCCAGGCATTACCCGAAACACAATTTGCCTTCCGCAAGAAATGTTCCACGGAAGACGCCCTCTGTGTGCTGACTGATAATCTGCAGAAAGCGAGAGACAGTGGCAAGACCACAGGGCTGTGCCTATTAGACATGTCGAAGGCTTTTGATAAAGTGCACCACGACAAGTTAATTCAAGACCTCCTTGCGGTTGGAATTTCTGGAAAAGCCCTTAGTTGGTTCGTCGACTACTTGTCCGGCCGCAAGCAGCAGATCCTCATCTCGCCTTCAACCAGCCCTGCTCTGGCTTGCACCTGCGGAGTACCCCAAGGCTCTGTTCTCGGCCCTGTCCTCTTCAGTATATACACACGCGATGTCCCTTTGGTTTCCTCGCCTGTGCCAAGTGTACAATTTGCAGATGACATAGCCCTGTACGACTCCCAGGCCTCAGCGGCGGAAGCGTCCAGAACCCTCACCACAGCGGCAACTGCTCTGGCCGGTTGGCTGAAGTCCCGAGGCCTCATCTTGAACGCCACCAAGAGCCAGGTTCTGACTATCTCTCCCCAGCAGCATGTACAGGAAGTAACAGTCAAAAGCGGTGACTGTCTCCTCCCCTCAGCGTCTTCTGCGCGCTACCTCGGCGTTCACCTTGACAATCGCCTAGATTGGGACACCCATGTAAACTATGTGGTCGCCAAGGTTGCCAAGAAAATTGGCGCCTTGTGGCGGGCACGCCGAAGCCTATCAAGACGCTCTCGTCAGGTGTATGTGAAGGCGGTCATAATGCCCGACCTGCTTTATGGCTCCTGCTGTTTCTCAGCCGCAATGCGAGAGGGTCAACTGAAACGACTGCAAACCACGCAAAACAGAGCCATCCGCTGTATCGATGGCAACCCGCCCCGGACAGCCATGCAGCCGCTGCTCACTGCTCACTCCCTGTACCGTGTCAGCGAGCTCTACAGGCAGAAAATATTGATCACCATCTGGCGGTGCATCCACGCCCACACCAGCCCTGTGCTCGCCCAGCTTCTGACCCCGGCACAAGGCACCCCTACCCGCCATCAGCAGTCAAATGGCCTACTAAGCCAGGCAAACCGTTTCCGCCGCGGTCAGCGGAGATTTTCTGTTGCTGGTGCTCTGCTGTGGAACGCTCTCCCTGGTGAGGTCCGCACAATTACCCGGCTACCTGAGTTTAAGCATGCATGTGTACCATACGCCTGTAGGGATTAGTTCGAGTTGCTGCTGATCGCTCTGCTCTCCCTCCCCGTGCAGTTCAGTAACCCGCACGTAGTATCACAGATACATCGTATTCTCTCTCTCCCCCCGTTTACCCGCAGTTATTAGTATCCTATTCTCTTACTATGTGCTTCCATAGCTTTTACTATGTTCTTCCATAGCCACTTCTAGGCTAAGCCTTCGCCGTCATTTTACTGGGTCGTCATCCCGTTTGAATGTGCGAAGTGAAATAAAAACCAACCAACCAACCAACCTACCAACCGTACCGAAAACCCAACGACACCCCACTGTATGTCAACGCCAACTCCAATCACCCACCGCAAGTCCTTAAGAACATCCCAGCTGGAATTAACAACCGACTGGCAAGCATCTCCTGCTCAGAAGCGGTGTTCCGTGACGCTATCCCCATCTACGCGGAGGCCCTCAACGCCAGCGGCCACCCTAGCACGCTCGAGTTCAAACAGAAAACAAGCAAAAAGAAGAAAAGGAAGAGGAAGGTGATTTGGTACAACCCGCCCTACAGCCGTAATGTGAAAACAAACATCGGTGGAAGATTCCTCGCGCTCATTAAGAAGCACTTCCCCCCACAGTCGAAGCTCGGAAATATATTCACAAAAAAACACCATCAAGATAAGCTACAGTTGCATGCCAAAGATGGCTGCACGCATCAAAAGCCACAACAAAGCGGTTCTCTGCCCGCAAACGAAAAAATCGGAAAAGCCTTGCAACTGCCGAGACAAGCCATCTTGTCCACTCAACGGTGAATGCCAAACGACGGAGCTGATATATGTGGCATCCATAACATCAGGCCCCACCAAAAAGGAATACACCGGTATGACGCCGCCACCATTCAAGTCACGCCATGCCAACCACATGACTACAACAAGATACGAGAAGTACTCCAGCTGCACTGAGTTCTCCAACTACATCTGGAAGCTGAAGAAATCCAACGCCCAATACGAAGTCGAATGGAGGATAAAAGATCGCGCCCGGGCATACTCCTACATCACGAAGCGGTGTTCCATCTGTACCAGAGAAAAATATCACATCTTGAACACGCTAGGGTCACCGTCCAGCCTCAACAAGCGCTCTGAAATGGTGTCCAAGTGCCGACACGAGAACAAGTATCTCCTAAAAAACCACGGTGTCACCTAAACATGTCTCCACAGCCTCCTGCCCACACCATTCACGTTCACACACCTTGCTCATAACACCCTGCCCACACCAGCCATATACATTTACACTGCGCTATTATCACACTGCTAGCTCTACAGCCTCCTGCCTACAACATCCACACGCATTGCTCACCACCTCCTGCCCACACCAGCCACACACTCCGCGCTAACACTGCACTGCTAGCCCCTGCCTTCAACAACCACACACTCTGCACACAGCCCCTGCCTAAAACACCACCGCTACTGCGCTAGCCCCCACAGTCTCACACAGCTTTTTATACCACCCTCTCCTGACAGATATACCGGCATGGTCGGTACCCGATCTTCATGTTGCCTGATGATTGCGTAAGCATGAAACTTAAAGTAGCAGCAAACAAGCCTTGATTGTCCTTGTTGTTCTGTTGTGAATGACACAGGGGCACTCCGGGAATTTTTTCGGTGGTGTGTTCTCTTCATGGGGGCCTTATATGGCCCCCAAGGAATGGGGAATCGCGAAAACTAGACCCAAAAAGTCGATATATGAAGCCAGGGAGGGCCAAGTTTGTCTCCTCTTTTGATGGTTTTGATGACGTCACGTGTGATTAGTATTCAAATTCTCTGCATTTGAAGATCTTAGGGTGCGTTCTTAAATTCTCCAGCTTCTAGAAGAAGAAGAAAAGAGAAGTCGAAGAAACTGGGATTCTTCAAGAACGGGTCTCGAAGAATTCGGAGATATTTTGCAGATGTCAAGCAAAATGGAGCGCCAAAGGGACCGTGATCTTGAGTGCCACGAAAATAGTATGCGCTGTGCGTATGTGAAAAGGGAAATGCGTACACTCATGATCAACACGTGGCTTTTAGCCTAGTTCGCATGCGCTGATCCGAAACCGCGGGAATCTCCGAGTTTCAACCACCTCTGAAGCTTGGAGAGCTTCGAGAGCTTTGGAGAGCCTCCTAAAATTCGGAGAGGATATAAGAACAGCTCTCGAACTTTTCGGAGAGTCTCCAACTTTTCCGAGAGGATTTAAGAACGCACCCTTAGTTGTTTGAATTTTCTGGTGATGAAGAACGATGTTTGGTCGACATTCCCAAGCTTCACAACTGCGGAAATACTCTAAGGAACCTGAAGGACCCCCTGAGTTGCCCCTGGTGGAAGCGCAGCCTGATGAGGGCCAGGAGATTGGAGCGGACCAAGGGAAAAATATTTGCCGAACGTGTGTTCGAAGCGGTTCATATTCACTTCTTTCGATGATTATTATCAATATCATCCGGCGGAAAATCGATGTTTCTCGTGCCCAATTATTATGTGTACGCAAAACAATCTTTCTGCACTCGATGACGCAAAATCTCCATACGAAACATGGTTCGTATGAAAGCCAGTCCACATGTATTCTCCGTGCCGAAAAATCGTATGAAGTAGGCTTCGAAAAAATCCGTATCGTCCATACGGATTTTGGCATGGAAAATCGTACCCTGGAACCTAGCTATTAATTTACAAACAACGTTTCTTCATTTATGATTTGGAAAGTTTCTTTCTCAATCAAGATCCAAATGGAACGGAAACAGGGCGGCTGCATCCACAGGCAGCTGCGCACAAAGATCATGCATTTAATTGGCGACCACGACTTTCATTGGCGTGGAATGGTGGAAAAAGGAACTAGTGCAGCGACAAAATAGAAACGGAGAAGATGTAGCAGCAAGGAGAGCGAATGGCTAAAGTGCACTACCCTACTGTCTGTAGTTAGTGAACACATAGTCACGTGGTCAAGTGATCACATACACATATACATCATACCAATACGTCATCATGATCATGCATAACAAAAAGAACAGAAAGGAAAGTCATGCCTGAGCAAAACAAATCAAGAGCGCGAGACTACTCACGGTATGAAAACATAACGAAGAATTTGTTTCAGAAGGTAATGCAAAGACTAGAGAAACGAAGACTACCTTCGAAGCTACTTTGAAGTGAAATGGAGTCAATCATTAGAAATGAAGATAGGGAACCAGAATTCTGCTAACCCAAGCGTGGAATCAGCCACAATGTAAGAGAGTAAGAGAGTACAATCATTGTCATGGTATATACGAAAACACTAATGTTAATCATCGTCATGTAATGCAAAATACAAATTAGTTATTCAGAATTCATTTTCATGTATTTCATCGCGACCTTCGCGACGAGCAGTTCTCAGGAGATTGAGGGCCTGCTAACAAATCCGAGAGCGGCTAAAGAATGCATGCACAATCCGGGATGAAGCGTCGGTAGAGATTTACCAAACCTAGAAAGCGAGATAGAGAGCAGAGTGAGTGTCTGGAGCAGGGTAGTTCACCATGGCCTTGACTTTCTCTGCCAGTGTCTCAATGCCGCCGACGACAGCGGCTTGGACATTGTGACCGAGGAATGTCACGGAAGGGCTGCATGAAGACACACTTGCTGACAATGACCACCAGACCATACTCTGCCAAGTGATGGAAGATGGTCTTCAGATGCTTGAGGTGTTCTGCTGTCGAGCGACTCACTACCAGTAGAATGTAGACAGTTGACAGCTAAGCCAGGAACGAATAGAGGCCACCGCTGGGCAGGGCAGCTTCAAGATGACGCCTCACCATTTTTCAACACTGTACCAAGGACAAACAACAAGAGAGAGAAAGCGGGGAAGAGAGAGGGAGGGAGAGGGAAAGAGAGAGAGAGAGAGAGAGAGAGAGAGAGAGAGAGAGAGAGAGAGAGAGAGAGAGAGGGAAAGAGAGCAGGGAGGGTAAGAGAATGATATGCAGACACACCAGCAAGCAGACAGATATGGTATTCTGCAATATAAAGACAGGCAGAGACAATGCGGGGGGGGGGGGGGGGGGGGAGAAAATTCTAGTGCCTGCCATTTGAAGATGCCGAGACCTCTAGTTGGTTGAACATAGCAGGCCGCACCAGCACCATATCACACCACGCTAGCTCCATTGGCCTGCCAGTGAGATGTGTATCTTGTAAAGAGTGATAGAAATGAGAGAGGTGAAGTCGTGATTTTGTCTTGTATACGAGGTTGGCTAGATTGTGGCTCGATGGTTGCACACTCCAAGAATGTACACCCTTTTATTGAGAGAAAACGTTTGGTCGGATGTTAGCACAACCAACACGACTTGAAAAGCTGAAGCTCTTCAGCTCAGGTGAGTGCAATGGGTGTTTTCTTGCATGATCTTGTCAGTCTATCAGATCCTTGGTATTCTTAGAAAACTGGTTACGGAAACCAGGGAAAACCCATGGGAACGAGTTATGAAGCAGCTATCCACGACTGTAACAAGATAATACTCAGTCAGAAAGTGCAATCACAGGGCATCGTTCCAATGTGTTTTCTTACATTTTACATTCTGTTACTGGCTCAGTATCCGAGTTTAAAAATTTCAAACCGGGGACTTTGCTACTGGGAAACAATGCTCAGACGACAAGCTAAGGTGCAGGCAGGATCCCAGCACAGACCATTCATCACTTTCTGAAACCAACTTGACCCCCCCCCCCGCCATCACCCCATCCCTTCTCCCTGGACCCAACCCGGACCATCCCACCGAAATACTGGATAACAAGGAGATCAGTCATTCTTGTTTAACTCACTGGAATGTTTTCTCAATCTTTTTCTTCTTGTCCGGATTCAGGTCTAGCGCTATCTTCTTCAACTCGGCCAGGGTGACTTCGCGCGTTCCAGCTTTGTCCACGGCCCACCTGATAACACCATGCATATTATCCGGTATGTTAGTGGTGCCATGGCCGTTTCTCACGATAAAGTCTTGCATGTCGTCTTTGAAATCGTTGCTGTATTCTGGGTCAATCAGTATTGCAACGGCTTGGGCAAAGTCCTCTGGACACACAGGAGAACAAGGAGGGAACATAAAGAAATACAGCATTTCTCAGAGACATGTCGGTAGCCTATTCACGTTCCCAATGCACGGCCCCACACCACAGCAAGTCTAAGCACAGGGACTACAAGTTACGCTATAATGTATATAGTCCTATTGCAAGTCTTTATTTGGTACAGTAAAGAGGTGATAGAAACATAGCAAGTAGGAACAGCTAAAATAACAACAAACAATGTAATGTATTTAGGGACACAAATATCTGGGTGCGGAGTATACTCCGGAATATATGATACGTATTTTGTCTTCCATTCTATACAGATAGGCAGCAACATACTTACCACGTTTAAGGCGGCTGACGCAACCTTCAATGCTTCGGCTGAAGTTTTGAAAATGAGAAATGTCTGACAAAACTTTCAGTCTGAAAGAGGGACAGAACATATGAAAGCGACATGTATTTTCATGTTAATCACGGAGGGTCAGAAGACAACGCCAAGAGGGGATTTTAATAAAGGAATAAATAGAACTAAATCCGCCGTCATCATCATGCATCATGCATCATCATGCATCATTTCGTTGATGCATGGTGATGACGGCAGAGTCAGTCCTCTGTACTGCTTTATTCCTTTATGAGAGAGAGATAGAGATACAGAGAGAGAGAGCGGGAGAGAGAGAGAGAGAGAGAGAGAGAGAGAGAGAGAGAGAGAGAGAGAGAGAGAGAGAGAGAGAGAGAGAGAGAGAGAGAGAGAGAGAGAGAGAGAGAGAGAGAGAGAGAGAGAGAGAGAGAGAGAGAGAGAGGGGGAGATGGAGAGACAGAGAGAGAGACAGAGAGGGGGGGGAGAGAGATAGAGATAGTGTGAGATAGAGAGAGAGACATAGAGAGAGAGGTAGAGAGAGAGAGGTAGAGAGAGAGAGGTAGAGAGAGAGAGGGAGAGGTAGAGAGAGAGGTAGAGAGAGAGAGAGAGAGAGAGAGAGAGAGAGAGAGAGAGAGAGAGAGAGAGAGATAGATAGAGAGATAGAGAGATAGAGAGAGAGAGAGAGAGAGAGAGAGAGAGAGAGAGAGAGAGAGAGAGAGAGAGAGAGAGAGAGAGAGAGAGAGAGAGAGAGAGAGAGAGAGAGAGAGAGAGAGAGGGAGGGAGAGAGAGAGGGAGGGAGAGAGAGAGAGAGACCGAAAGAGAGAGACATAGAGAGAGAGAAGAAAATAGTGGTTGGGACTTTGAGTATCATTGCTATTAGCATATGAAAGGTAGAATTGAGATCAGGTGTGAAGCAATACCTGTACCATGTAAACATGATTTGAATTACAACAAGTCTATGTGCTTACGGTGATGTTGACGGTTGGGATGAAACTGCCTCTGCGGGTGCTAATCCTGCTGCTGCTGCTGGTGATGTAGATGATTCTGATGATGATGGTGATGGTGATGCTACTGCTGCTGTTGATTTTACTGCTGGTGGCACTGGTGCTGCTGCTGATGCGGACTCCAATACTGCTGCTGCTGCTGCTGCTGCTGATGCGGACTCCGATGCTGCTGCTGCTGATGATGGTGATGGCAGATGTAATGCAGCTGCTGCTGCTTGTCCTGCTGGTGGCACTGCTGCTGGTGGCACTGCTGGTGCTGGTGGCACTGCTGCTGGTGGCACTGCTGCTGGTGGCACTGCTGCTGGTGGCACTGCTGCTGGTGGCACTGCTGCTGGTGGCACTGCTGCTGGTGGCACTGCTGCTGCTGGCACTGCTGCTGGTGGTGGCACTGCTGCTGGTGGCACTGCTGCTGGTGGCACTGCTGCTGGTGGCACTGCTGCTGCTGGCACTGCTGCTGGTGGTGGTGGCACTGCTGCTGGTGGCACTGCTGCTGGTGGCACTGCTGCTGCTGCTGGTGGCACTGCTGCTGGTGGTGGCACTGCTGCTGGTAGCACTGCTGCTGCTGCTGCTGGTGGTGGCACTGCTGCTGCTGCTGCTGCTAGTGGCTGCTAAAATCGTTTTAGAAATCCGAAGATATGCAGACAAGAAACACAAACAACAGAAAAGTTCAGTCAATCCAATTCCACAGACGTATACCGTAAAATAATAATTATAATCCTCCATTCGTAGTGCATTGCAATTCTATGCTAGCTTTTTCTTCAAGTAGAATTCTATTGAGTATTGCTGAAAAGAAACTACTTCTCCTTGAAGAGATAATGAAAACAAAAAAAACACACACGGTCACTTGGTCAGTCAAATCCTCAACGTCACACGATTAAAGTCACATGATCACAGTCACATGAACATGATCACGGTCACATGATCACTGTCACATGATCACTGTCACATGATCACTGTCACATAATCACGGTCACATGAACACAGTCACATGATCACTGTCACACGAGCACTGTCACATGATCACAGTCACATGATCACTGTCACATGATCACTGTCACATGATCACTGTCACATGATGGTGTGGATATTGCAGCAAAGTATCTATTCTAGCAGCTTGACATTTCAAGTGTATGCTGAAACCATACAAGACAGTGGAAGAAAATCTTCACAACTCACCTCAGCTTGGACAAATGGCACATCCTTACGCAGCCAGGGCCAGAAGGACCTCGGGATAATGACCTTCTGCTTGCAGGTAGCACACGTAGCCTTGAAGGTCAGGGCGGTGTTCCCATCTGACTCGTATGCCGTCAAGAAATGCTTCTTGTGCAAGCTGGTCAGCAACACCCATGACGAGTGTACCAGCACCTCTGCAGGACTGCTGCATTCCTTCAGGCGATCCTGGCATGATGCGGAAGTGCAGGCGAAAGACTCACCAACAACTGTGAACTGCTGGTACCCTTGGGTGCTGAGAACTTGTGTGAAGTCAGCAATTGCACTCTTCATATCCCAAGCCACATCAGCAAGTATGGATGGTGTATCAGCAGCGCATTCTAAGCGAACACCTGTCGGTGTCCAGCAGAGGCATACTTGACTACAACCAACTTCCAAATTCAGTGATGCCGCACTTGATGTGAATTGAAGACTGGCTGACTCTTTCTTCATACGATGAATTATGTAGGTGACTAAGCGACCGAACAGTGGTGGAGGAAACAGCATCCCAGGGAAACTGAGGTGGTTAAACGGTAGCTTAAAGGGAACATCATCCTCCAAAACCAACCGTAATGCTTCCTGGTTGCAACAGAACGGGATGAAGAGGTCGGGTAGGCCTGGCGTGACAACGGGACATCTGTCTTGTCCGCTGATGCTGCTGCTGTTGCTGCTGCCGCCGACTCTACTGCCACACCCTTCGGTGCTGGTGGCTGTACTGCTGGTGGCTGTACTGCTGGTGGCTGTGCTGCTGGTGGCTGTGCTGCTGGTGGCTGTACTGCTGGTGGCTGTACTGCTGGTGGCTGTGCTGCTGGTGGCTGTACTGCTGGTGGCTGTACTGCTGGTGGCTGTACTGCTGGTGGCTGTACTGCTGGTAGCTGTACTGCTGGCGGGCTGAAGTTCTGCTGCCAAGTTGAAGTAACACATTGATTTACAGAGAGCTAGCTGGACAACACGGCTGAGAGGATACCAAACTTTCTCTATCAACCTCGCGCTGGCAATTCCCGTCCGTCGAAAGTGTTGCACTTCTCTGACTAATGTTGCTGAGGTGCTTGGAAAAGCTGTCTCCTTAAGAGGGAAGGTCATCAAGCGTACAAAGTTGAGTAATAGCTGCTGGGGTTCAAGGAAAATGACACTTGAAGTGAGTGGATGCGGGCAGTCACAGCAAAACACTGTGCCATGTTGCTGAAGGTGGTGCAGTAGATCAGACACTTGTGCAGTGGTGAGATCTTTGCCGCTAACATGCCGACAAAAGTCTACAAACTGTGGGTAGTCCATACTAACAAAACTCTGCTGCTGCCGCTGCTGCTGCTGATCACTACTGGTAGCTTGCATTGCATCATCACTGCACCCAGCCTTTGCATAGCGAAGCATTTCCTTGTGGTGGAGAGAAATAGCTTCTTCTATCTTCACTTGCATCAAGGGAATTGCTTGGACAGGAAAGGCTGACACAATTCTAGAGAGCTCTTGCTGTGCTTCAGCAAGCTGGCTGTGGCGAGATACGCGATCTTGAAGACGGTGATTGTCAACAAAGAAGGGTCCACAGACCTTGACGTTGGGTCCGGCCCTTTCAGCCAGCTTGGACACGGCATTAAAGAACATGTCCTTCTTCTTCTCTATTTGGTCGTCATCGACAAGATCCACATGTGTAACAACAACCATGATGGCTGTGCTACTCTCATCATGATGGTGGCTGCTATTGCTGCTACTGCTTTTACCCGGCTCTGTGTCTGACTGATGCTGATGCTGCTGTTGTTGGTGCTGCTGCTGTTGCTGCTGCGGCTGTTGCGGCTGTTGCGGCTGCTGCTGCTGCTGTTGCTGCTGTTGCTGTTGCTGCTGCTGCTGCTGCTGGTGATGCTGGTCAGGGTGTGTGTCTGCTCTATGCTGCAAAGCAATCAGTGACAGACACATGTGAAGGTAGTCAGCCTGCGTCATTCCTGGCAACGGTGTAGAAGTTACAATCTCCTGACCATCGAAGCGGTAGACGTCTTCCGTTACCTCCTCATCCAGGTCACACCTCATGTCAAGAGTGACAATGTACACGCTGTCACAAACTGAAAACGAGATGCTTTGTTGTACCAACATCGGCATCTGTCCACCCATGTCCCACAGCTCAACAAACGCATATGCTGCTTCCGCTTCATTTGAACTGTTATCGACATGGCTGACAGACGAGCGAACTTGAGAGATAACATCTGGTGCCACTTTGGTCAGGTCATTAGCGTGAGGAACATTGGCAAACTCATTGTGGACAGCGGATGTAGTTGATGCTTCACCATTAGCCGGGAAAGTAGCCAAAGGAGTACTCTTTGGTTTTGGAAGCAGTGACCTGGTGAATTTCTTGAGCTTGAACCATGCTGATGGTTGTGCAGCGATGGGTAGCTCTGGAGCCTCCTTGATTTTCTTGACCAGATCTAGAGATGATCGGATGTGGGCTGTGAGAAGGTTGGCAAAGAAACTATGTTGACTCTCGTCCACAAGAACTTGTGCCGCTTCTTGTGTGCCTGTGGCGAGTTGAGAGGAGAGATGCATTCTGAGTTTGGATCGATGGATGGAAATGGAGTCGGTGCTGTCCGCATTTTCAATGAACTCTTCACCGAGCAGTGCCCGGACAAAGCTGGACTTTCCTGTGGCGTACTTGCCGACAAGGTACATACGCACGCGTACCACGCTGGCCTCGTCCTTGCCACCAATGATGTCCTCAGCCACAGCAGCTGCATTGCAATAAACAATAATAATGCAGCAGCAGCAGCAGCAAGAAGAGCAGCAACAGCAACAGCAGCAACAATCATTAGTACATGTTATCATGGGAAATGGTAGAATGCCTCAAGTACAACAGAGTTTACCAGTAACAAAAGCAATTGAGAGCCCCCCCCCCCCCTTTGCTTATTCTCTTCCTGTTCGCCCTCCCTCCAACCCCCCCCCCCCCCCCCCCCAACGCGCCCCTTTTCTCTGTCTCTCTATCTCTCTGTTTCTCTGACTATGTATACACCATACAGTATTGGGTATAATTATATCTATTTACCTATCTAACTAAAAAGACAGAAAGTGGTCCAGTTTGAATTTTTCATAAGTCAAAGTTTCATGCTATTGCAATCAGACGACTGATACTAATACCTGAGACTAATCACTATGAATATGATCATGTGTGATACTTGGTGCTTAAATTGATATTACTCTACACGATTCACGAACAACGCCAGTATCACACAGACGCTATAATAATTATTATGGTTGCCGGCAATTTCCAAAATTACTCCTTTGTATCTATCCATCTATCTAAGAGTTGGTGGACAAGCCATTGATTATCCACTCTCATTGTAATATCAAAAAAGGATTCTTTCTATACCAAAGAGTGGTATATTTGATAAATAAATATACTTCAGTAGAAACATTTACGATACTTCTCCAGACGTTTCGTTGTGTGAAACACTTCTTCAGTGGATAAAGAAAGACATCCAACATCCACTGACGATGTTGTTCAGAATAACGAAACGTCTGGAGAAGTATCGTAAATATTTCTAATGAAGTACTTGTATCTTACACAAGAGAGAGATTGACAGCTTTGTTACAACTCTGAGTTTCACGTATTACTACGATCATCAGGCAACCAATGAAGTATCTTATCAAATACACCACTCTTTGGTCTATTTATCTAATCAATCAGCGGACAAAACTGTTAAGTCCTTTGTGGACTCATCAGCGCAGGACAGAGAAAATGAGCCCGAACCTGGTAGCAATGAAAAATATTTTTTCCAAAGCCAGATTTAAACCAGACCCAAACGTACCTTGCCAGAGTGCTCAAACTGACAAGTCAGTGAGCTCTGCATAACGCAAACAGCAAAGGCACTACCCCACATGAGCTATCTATCTACCGTATCTCCCTCTCTCTGTCACAATCTCTGTCTTTTTTTATCTAATATCTCATACTTGAAGACTTTGATTACGAAAAATCATTACTACGAAGAAGTTCTCAAATCGAGCAGACAGATTGGCACCCACCAGTTCTAAGTTCCTCTTTCTTCATTTCCTTCATTGTTCCCAAGCAGAAACACAGCACACACACACACACACACACACACACACACACACACACACACACACACACACACACACACACACACACACACACACACACACACACACACACACACACACACACACACACACACACACACACACACACACAACACACAAACACACAAACACACATACACATACACACATACACACACACACACACAAACACACATACACACACACACACACAAACACACAAACACACATACACACATACACACACACACAACACCAGAAATGAGTTGATCAATTTACTTTTATTCCCCAAGTTATGATAGACAGAGTAGAAGATTGGCATAGCCAGGACCCACAGACCTCATATTCGCGCCTCCTCATGCATGCATTTGTGTGTGTGCGTGCGCTTGTGTGTCTGTGTGTGTGTGTGTGCTCGGGCATGTGTACGTGTGTGTGTGTGTGTGTGTGTGTGTGTCTGTGTGTGTGTGTGTGTGTGTGTGTGTGTGTGGCACCGTGTGTGGCCCCTTTTTTCACAGGAGAAAAGTGGCCAAGTACGAAAAAGGTTAATGTCCAGTGATATCCTACAAAGTCGGGTGGTACAACATTTAGTGCTTGATGCACAGGATCAGACACGGGTCGATTGCGACATTCGTTTTCCCCAGCCCCCAGGGTCTAAGCTACGTGCCGCTTTTCAGTCCCAAAATTCGTATTTTTGTGGTGAGGTATACTGTAAAGCGTGAAATTTTCGCTGCGTTTTTAGTTCGCGTTTTCAGAATCAGGACAGGTTTGCGAGGTTTTAATTTTGCGATTGCAGAATTTGAAAATTTTAAAGCAGAGATTTTCAGCCAAAGAAGGCTAAGCAAGGACAAGCTAACTTTTGAACAGCTGATTTGTTTCCGCTTTCAGTGGCATGTCGACCGATCTTGGCTCTCACCTCATCCGTGTATCTATGGTAGTCACCACGCTTCCTCTTCTTTTTCTCAAACGTAGCCAGCTCCTTTTCCACGGCGCAGTTTGCTGCAGCGACGGTAATGCTTGCCGCAGGAGGAAGGTATGAAGCCTGCTTCGCAGTGCTGCTGTCATCATTTTTCTGCATCCACTGAAGGAACGGCATACTACTAGTGACGAGAGAGAAGCAGTAGTGCGATCGTCGAGGGAAAACTTCAAAAGGATGTGAAAGGAATGAACTTCGGTCCGAGTTATTTGTACAGCAGTGGTGCAAGGAAACTCTTGGTGGCAATCTTCACGAATACGCTGGATTGCGCTACTATTTGTGCTACTGTGACATTCTTGCTAAACCTTTCACGGATCTCCTTTTCGCGCTGTCTAAATTTCGCGATTTCCACGCGACCATCGCAATAATTTCACGGTTTCCAGTAAGCCATACGTCAGACTTTTACCTTTTTGACAATCTAACTTAATGGGTACCGGTACATACATACGTACAAGACGTTACAAATGCTTAACCCTTTGGCATCCATGGATTCCTTCAGGATTCGCGCAGAGGTGCGCGATCGATCGCGCAACAGTCCCAGTATGCATTTCAACATTATCTAATTTCACGCACCAGATTTGGAATATCTCCATCTTGGTCTCTTTGGAAAGCTACAGATCTCCTCTCGCCAGGTATCGCCACTAAGTACTCCACAGGAGCAACAGAATCCCCGTCACGTCTTTTGAGAGCTGCCCTATTGCGCCTGAGCGAGATACTGTGCCCACATCCACAAATGTCATTGGTTCTGAAGTTTTACTCAATGTAGAACGGTGATTCACAGCCCTGCAGGTTCCTGAAGCCCAAGCGATTCATTTGGCCTCCACTCCGCATGCGCTATGCAACCATGAGTCACAGGCGACGTCCCTTTCCAAACAAATTCAAGCGCATCCATGTTTCGCTCTTCAGCGCTCAGTGAATCTTCATCACGCCAGATCATACGACACACGGCTGGGAAGCTTATTCTCTCAACTTTCCGATAAGCCCTCATTCTTGGCGATCGAAGAAAGGACAATGGAGTTACGACAATGCACAAACTGGCACGGTTGCGCACGAGCAAACTCGTGTTCAAAAATGACCTTTAACTTGTGGTTCGAGGTCAAAGGGTTAACAATTTAAGAAGAACAACTGAGGTTATAGCAAAAGGGCCTAGTTTGTCCTTCACTCTGAACTGACATGTAGAAGCTTTGTGCAAGTGGAATGATGGATTTCAGTACATGAAAACAGTCTAATGACATCATACACTCATTATATGCACGGAGCGCTGTAGAGCACAACCAGCATTCGGATTATTTATAAGCCGCAGGGATGTTTTTTGGATGCATTTCAAAGTGCAGCCAACACACCGGAAAACACGGTATGTGCTATGGTGCTAAGCCACAAGCAGTTGCAGTGGTTGCACTTCATGTACAGTGAAACCTTGTTAGGAAGAACACTGATAAAACAAATGTTTGCCTAAGAAGAACTAGTATTCGAAACTGTATTGGACAAAACCCTGTGTATTCACCGGGTAAAACATATGGATAAGAAGAACTCCCGTTTTTGCGAACGAATATCATTGGTCCCTTGATGTTCGTCCTAAAGAGGTTTGACTGTATTTCAGAGCTGCCAAGTTCGTTTTCTCTTTGGTCAGGAGATCTCCCTCAAAGGGGGATAGCCAGGCCGGAGGTCGGTCGGTAGCCCCTCAAACGAGTGGTTTTCCATCTACTTCCTCAGTAAACAAAAACATCGTGATGAATTTTTGAGGGACTGGTTTGCGCACAAACTGCCGTGAAATTAGTCACGATTACTTTCTCGGCCTTCCCTGGCATGCCGTGAAAGAGATACGATGCAAAGAAAGCGACCATTCACCGGGGTACTGAACCAGCATGCGTGATGCTGAGCGCATGTGTAAATTTGCTTATGGCAATAGTGACTTCAGTCAATTTTCAAACTCGCTCCAAATGCTCCGATTTTAGTCTTAACCCTTTCACTGCCACTGTCGACAGCGCATTCATGCACTCCGAGTGACATTGTCGACAGCGCATTCATGCACTCCGAGTAACATTGTCGACTGCGCATTCATGCACTCCGAGTGACATTGTCGACTTGCGTCGAAGAGTAAACATACAGTCCCCAGTGCTGTTGTCGACTTCCGTCGACAGGCAGACCTCACCCAGTTTGGTCCTCTAATTTCGAATATTGGAGATGTTTAGCCGTGGTAGACGGCCACGGGGCCCTGGAAGATGTCCATACCCATCGTAATACGCTGCCAGAAGTATGGGTTGCCATTTGAAAAAAACCGAACCAGCGTCGTTGAAAATGCGCATCCGATTTTTGCCGAGCGGTGGGGAAGAAATCGGTTCTCACGCACTTCCACCTCCCAGAGTCGGTGCGAGTATTTTCCCCTTTCCCGTCAACTTTCATTGCGCGGAGCATGGAATTTGTTTCAGACTTGATGCCTAGCTATTACTGTTAAACGACAAACTTTCGCGAGCGATTAACTTCCGCGACTTTCGCGAGCAGGGCCGAATCACGAAAGTTTGACACGTGAATATGAAATATGTACAATCATGTACTACGCGATGCATCAATGATCGATTGTGCACTGTCTGTACATACACTACACAGACTCTGGACTAGCGCTGATCATTGCTTGCACGGCTACAGTCCAAAGCGTGAAGCTGCGGAAAGTAAGGGACCTTCCGTAAATACCGATATTTATTTAGAAACGAAAACTAGTCATTTGTCTTCAATCTCCCTCCCCCTACCTCAGAAACGAACACATACAAACGGTACATAGTATCGATATTTTTTTCTTCTTTTCTGGACGGGATCACACATACAAACTGTGCATCGATATTTTTTGAGAAACGAACAGGCGCTCAACCCCCTCTCCCCTAAACGACTAGTTTTCGTTTCTAAATAAATATCTAGAGACTCCCTCGATTTAGGATAAAGCCTGTGGAGAATCCATAAATACAAATCTATATTTACAGATGGCCCCTAACATACCAACACTAGTCTTACTAGGTGTCGTTGGAGTACGGCGACTTGAACCAGAATTGCAGAAGAGAATAAAACGATCAACTGGAGAATGTCTCAGTGTTGTGGAGAGGGTTGTTGAACTTGTTGGAGTGTTTGGCCAGCTTGCTGTTGCGTAGATTTTAGTTAGTGTTGTACTGCTCGAAGAAGTCTTCTGAATTTTATCGCCATTAGTGTCGCAGTGGCTCAGCCGTTCGAAGAGAAAGTCTTCCGAAGATCCCTCTTCGAAAACGCCATCCTTTCTCCCAGTACCGTAAAGTCCGCTGCAAACGCCCACCCCATTTTTCCAAGATCTGCTGGCCTGTACACACCGACCCCATGCACTGTTACCCCTACTGTACAAAAGTGCATCTCACACCGTAGTGCGAAGAGCGCTTTGCTACGGTAAACTATGTCCACTTTCCTGGTTTCGAAATCGCTCTGGGCACTATCCACGAGCTAGCTCGTAGTGATATTATGATGATGGCTATTTTAATTCGCAAATCCAAACCGGAGTTTCTTCCGAATAATAAGGTAGCGAAGAACAGAGTATTGCAGGGACCAAATACACTTCTGACGGTGTTTCAAGCCATCATTTCCAAATCACACAACGCTCAAAGCAAGTGTTTTTTCTCGAGCACTTCAGAGTTTTCAACAAGTTAGCAACGACTTTGTATGGGTAGCTTCTGTGACATACCCTGTTCGAATTGCAACTGCAATACTGCGACCAATCCAGTGGTTGAATGACGCTTCGTCAGAACAATCACTGTTCCGTTCTGAAAGCGCGACATCGTGCACTGCAGAAATGTCATGAAAACTAGATGGATTCTACGGCATTACTACATGGAGAGCGAACTACCACAAAGACGACTCATATATCGAATGAAAGGACATCTCGACAGAAGTTTTTCTTTGCAGCAAGATAATGACAATCGCTTTGCAGAGCCTCCTGGTAAGACATGGGCAGTTTGTAGGCATTACAGCCGCTTTCGTACGCATTC